ACAAAAATATTCGGGTCATTGCATGCAAGAGTTACATTAAGATTTTATTTTATTTTATTTTATGTTTTGCAAAACTTGTCCCTCTATCACGCTATAATTTATGAGCTAGTCAACTGGTAGTAGTAATATCAGTAGTAATATCAGTAGTAATATCAGTGAAACACAGTAAAATAGTAATAATAACAAAAATGTAGTAATAGTTTACTATTCAACATCTGATTAGACTTCTACAGCTCTACTTCTCTGCTCTCATACAGTCAAAACATCCATCTAAAACAAAACTTCCTCCAAATATGTGCAACCTTCGGATAAATCTTTCCAAAATTCTTCAATGACCAATCATACCATTGCTTCAACCTCCAATGACCAATCATACCATTCCTTTAACCTCTGATGCTCTTCTGCCATTTGTTGAGGATCCAGTGCTGCCATCTTGTCAGTTAGAACTTGTCGAAACTCAACAATCTAGTTTTTCATAGCCTCTAAATTGGGTGTGTTTCCAATCTCCAGGGGAAAACAAATGATTAATCTCCTCTATATATGGAAATCTTCATAAAACCATCAAGCCCCCACTCGGGCCACGGGTTTTGAATCACCACGTACATTCCGTCTCGAGATATCACAAGAACAAGAACAAAGTGCTCGAACTTTACTCCCAAAGATTCTTTATAATGAACGCTAAATATCTCCTTAGGTTAGTTATGAACTTGCGATTTGTAGACTATTTTAGCAAAAAATTGATTCCATCTCTCAAATGCAGGGTAAACTTTCAGCTTTGAGACTCCTGGGCATAAACGAAGCTCATCCCTCATGTCAGCCAGAGTGTATACTATAGTGAACCTAGTCAAATAAATCTCTGACACAATAGGTTGATTAAACTCATTTACGGCAGTCGGGAGATTCAAGATTTCGGACGTGAGTGAACAATTGAGGTATCATAAGATACATTTGGCTTGGAGGCTTCGCTGGGGCATTCTTCCTCAGTCAACATCCCACAAAACACCATAACGAGTGCAAGTTGAACTATAGTGTATTGAGTTGATAGTCTAGTTGGAACAATGTCATTATCTATCCCAATCCTTGCAGCCATTGCAGCAGCCATCAATGTTGGTCCACAAGCATCATCCTTCTGAGCAAATAAGGGTAGTATATTTCGCCTCATGATGGCTCGCAATCAACAAAAAGAGCTTCCACTCTTCCAGAAAGTGGTCGATCCATCTGTTTCTTGAGAGGTTCTAAAAGAAGAAAAAGCTTATCCCTCTTTACCCACCTCAAAATTGAAGAGGATTGAAGAAACACTAAGCCGCCTCTTTTATCAGACTCAAAACTAATCAAACGAAAGAAAAACTGAAACTTCAATCAACCTTTACTTTATATTTTGCCCCCATTTTTTCTTCTTTTGATGCAAGCGAACGTTGGAAGGAGGGGGACAAGAGTTACAGTAAGATATAGACTATTGTTTTGCCATAAACCAACTATCAAATAAAATAAAAGGATCTAGAGCATCCTCACAACTCAAAATAAAAAATCAAATCACTAGCAGAGTTGAAAAGTCTGAAGAATTATAATATCTTATATATCCTTACAAACTAAAATAACACCAAAAGCCACTAACACCCTCACTAATACCTTTCAAGCCCTATAGATCTAGGCATTCATGATTCTCTCCCATAAAAATAAAACCTAGGTCCACATAAGAAAAGAGTTGCAACCAGCACTGCAGCCCTCGCAAGATCATCCTTTGACTACAAAAAGTTATGCACTACCATAAATTATTACTAAGAAAATTCCAGCAACTAGAATGTAATACTTCATAGATGTAATTTTTTGAAGGTGCCTGGTTTTAATTTGGGTCTCTTTGAGTGTAAATCTTATGAGAAGAACAAAAGGTGAAAACATGAATGCAAAAACATCCGCGACCACAAATATCTTGAATGCCACTTCTTTTTCATGAATAAATTTGCCTTCATTTTCTTTGGAGGTGCCAAATTTACCGAGTGAAGTCAACATGCATGGGTGCACTTACATGGTTAGTATGAAAGTATTAATAACTAGAGCCATGTCAGAAACTTTTGTTTCATTCTCTAATATTTTTTGTCAATGAAATTTCTTACTTAGGCCCAAACCGACTCCAATTCCAATTCATAGTCAATATAAAGGGAAAAAAAATTCAAATTCAAGCACAAGATTCTAATTACATATACCTGTCTTTGGCTAATTTCTTTTCATGATAAAAGATCCAACGGGGTATCTCTATGTATGTCAACAATACTCTGATAATTTCTTTTCTTGGTAAAAGATCCAATGGGGTATCTCTATTTATGTCGTCATTGACTAATTTAGTCCCATCCAATTCCTTGGTGGCCATGTAGAGATGAAGGGGAGTGTCCCTGTTTATATCTCTAACATTGACAAGTTGACCAGCCCAATTACTCTCTAAGATAAATTCTAATATGTCTTTTTATTCGTTTTTTATTGAGAGGTAACAAATGTTTTGTATCTCACAAGTATGAGCATCCTAACTATAAAGACCATGGAGTAGAATATGTTTCATTGCATTAAAATTTCCACGAATCCACCGTATGATTAGGACTTCCACCATTCACGTCTCTATTAGTCACTAGATTCCCAAGAGCCTTATTATCGACAACAAAAGATCAATAATCTCCACATTATCCAATCTAGCTGCAACATGGAGTGCACTCCATTCATGTTGATCCGTCTTCCTAATCAAATCAGACGTGACCTCCAAAATCTTGTTCATGCAGTCTGATATAAACATTAAAAGGTGAAAAATAAGTAATGTTGAGTGAAAAGGGAAAAATTGGATACAAATATGACACCATTTAGATATCTCTATACACATGTAAAAAAAATTCATTTCTGTATATAATGTCTTTTCTTTTTTTGGAAGAACAAAAAAAAGTGTTTTAGCGCTCCCTTTGCTACTGCAAAAGTCTCATAATACACCAGTGTTCTCTGTCAATATACATTAATTCCTCTAAATAGTTAAATATTAGAGGTAGTATTTGACAAATTTATCGTTACGAGAGAGATAGACGTGTGTCAACAAACCGACTCAAGCCCAAACAGTTAGATGCTTGAGCTCGATTTCGACAAAAACTTTGGAGCTCGTACTCAAGTTCGAACTCGATCAAACATTAAAATTGAAGTTTGAGTTCGGGTTGAAATAAAAATGAATAGCTCACGCTCGGTTCAATTGTCTCGAGTCTTCGTGTTCAATAAAAATTAAACTCGAATACTTGATAATATTGAGTTCGAATAAATTTTAATATCTATCATTTTCAATTCAACACGTTCAATCCACTTGCAATTCCTTGATAAATCTTAAAAAAATATGTGTATCCTATTATTAGATCTTCAATATACAAAGGACAATAATTTTCAAGAAATATAAACAAAAGTTTTCATGAATTAAAGATCAATAAAAATAAAAATTAAATAATTAATAAGTTCGAATAGGCTTAATGACCTCTCAAATAAAACATTTTGATACTCGTATTCGACTTGTCTATGTAATCGAACTATTTGAATTCGACTCAAATTCAGACAAAAAATGAATTCAAGCCAAATTTTAACTAAGTTATTCGCAAACTACTCGCGAAGTGCTCGGTTTGTTGATATCTCTATACACATGTAAAAAAAGAACAAGTTGATATGGTTAATGTTGTAAGTTCGATTCTAGCACTAGCAAATCGATATGGTTGTTGCTGACTAAATAATACTCTACCCGATTTAAATGTCTCTTTCTCCCTCACTCCTTCCTTGTTTACCACTACACTAATTAGTTGTTTTTTCCCTTTTTTTTAATAAAATAAAATGTTGTAAATATTTGATGAATTAATTTTCTCTAAGAAAAAAAAAATTCTTATCTACCTTAGTTATATCCTTGATCAACGCATTTTGTTCTTTTGTTTGCTCTGGAATTGCTTGAAAATTCAAATTCTGGGAAAAGTTTTAAGATTGAAAGAAGATTTAGCATGGTTGTAACATCTTTTAACATATTTTTTGGACAGGTTTTTGGTATAATCATATTAATCACCGAATTTTGACCTTTATGTGCTTGGCTTCAATGTACAAAAAATCTTGGTAACTTTGTATAGTTTTAGAGTGATGCTCGATTCCTTGAGCTAGCATGAATATTTTTGTTGATTGCTATAACAACTTGATTACTTTCTCACATGCATATAAGTAGAATGACAAATGAATTTAGGTAAAATTTATCTCGATGAACAAGATAATTTGAAATAATTGAATAACGTTGGAGATCATCAAAATTTATTTCACGAAATTGGCTCAAGGAAGATGTTTGGAGGATTCTTGAAAGGCTCAAATATAAACCCACATGTGGTTCCACCTCAAAACTAATTGGCAATGAGGGGAGTAGCACATGAAGTATATATGTTGAGTTCAAGAGTCTTCATCTATCCATGTGGGACAATGGAACATGAGGTCATTTCTTTCTTTCATTCATTTAACACGCCCCTCTCAAGCCCAATGGGCTTGGACGGATAATTTTTTTTTTTTTCAGTCCTGCGATCGGTTATTTTCCCGAATAAACCGTCGCCTGCCGGGCCAGTCAAAGTTCAAAGTCAAACCCTGGATTTCTTCCGTGGGTTGGCCAAAGTTTCAAGACCCAATCTGGGTCAGTCCACCTCGCCCCACATGTCCCACAGGTCCGCGGATTAAAACCCGCTTTGATACTATCTTGAAAGACCCAAATATAAACCCACATGTGATTCCACCTCAAAACCAATTGGCAATGAGGGGAGTAGCAGATGAAGTATATATGTTGAGTTCAAAAGTCTTCATCCATTCATATAGGACAATGAAACATGAGGTCATTTCTTTCTTTCATTCATTTAACATTGTGTTAATTTGTACTACAGTGTACAGACCAAGATGTTTCGTAATTTGTTCTAATGGAATTTTGGTAATCCTATGTTGTTGCCACACGGTCAAAATTGCAATGGTTTCTCTGAAGTCGTGGAGATATCTGCGTAGGTTCCAATTGCCAAAACTCACGCTTTTTAACTGAAAACCTTTTCTTGGTTTCCTTCATCCCAAATTCTCAGAATGATGAACTCCTAAAGAGAAAAAAAAAACACACAGTCACACAGTTCATCTCAAATCCAAAAAGAATAAAAAAAACGCGAATACAGGGCTTTATAATCCAGTTTATATCACAGATTACAGTATTAATAAAGATTCGATGGCCGGCCCTTCGTTGATGGATTCCCTCTTCCAACGTTCATTAGAAGATTTAATCAAGGGCATCCGTCTCCACTCCGGTGCCGGCGCCGGAGAATCGTCCACCTTCATCTCCAAATGCCTCGACGAGATCCGCCGCGAGATCAAAGCAACCGACCCACAAACCAAAACCACCGCTTTACAGAAACTAACCTATCTTCACTCCCTCCATGGCGTGGACATGTCCTGGGCAGCATTTCATTCAATCGAGCTCTCATCTTCTACGAATTTCCACTCCAAACGGATCGCTTATCTTGCCGCCTCACTCTCCTTCAACCCGTCAACTGAAGTCATCCTTCTGCTCACTCATCAGCTGAGAAAAGACTTGTCTTCCGCCAACCCACATGAGGTGAGCCTTGCCCTGCAAACGCTTTCCTCAATCTGTACTCCTGATTTAGCTCGGGATTTAACTCCCGAACTGTTTACTTTGCTCAATAGTAATAAGGGTTTTATTAAAAGGAAAGCTATTGCTACTGTTTTAAAGTTTTTTGAGCTGTATCCGGATTCTGTTAGGGTCTGTTTTAAGAGGTTAGTTGAGAATTTAGAAAGTTCTGATCCGGGTGTTGTTTCTGCGGTTGTTGGAGTGTTCTGTGAGTTGGCTGTTAAAGAACCCAGATCATATTTGCCTTTGGCCCCTGAGTTTTACAAGATTTTGGTCGACTCCAGGAATAATTGGGTGTTGATTAAGGTTTTGAAAATTTTCGCCAAGTTGGCACCGTTGGAACCTAGATTGGGTAAAAGGGTTGTGGAGCCGATTTGTGAGCATTTGAAGCGAACTGAGGCAAAGTCGTTGGCTTTTGAGTGTATCCGGACAATCCTAACTGCTTTGAGCCAGTATGAAGCGGCTTTGAAGCTTGCGGTGGGGAAGGTTCGTGAGTTTTTGGTGGAAGATGATCCGAATCTTAAGTATCTTGGATTGCAAGCGCTTGCGATTGTTGGACCTAAGTATTTGGATGCAATTTTGGAGAATAAGGAAATGGTAATTAAGTCTTTGAGTGATGATGATGTAAATATTAAGCTTGAAGCCTTAAAGCTTGTGATGGCAATGGTATCCGAGGACAACATCACAGAAATTTGTAGAGTTTTGATGAACTATGCTATCAAGTCTGACCCTGATTTCTGTAATGAGATTTTAGGGTCTATCTTGTCGACTTGTTCGAGAAATTACTATGAGATGATTATCGATTTCGATTGGTATGTTTTGCTTCTTGGGGAAATGTCAAGGGTTCCACATTGTCAAAAGGGACAGGAAATTGAGAATCAGCTTGTAGATATTGGCATGAGGGTCAGAGATGTTAGACCTGAGCTTGTTCGAGTTGGTCGGGATCTCTTAATTGATCCTGCATTGCTTGGAAATCCTTTCATCCATAGAATTTTAGCAGCTGCTGCTTGGGTTTCTGGGGAGTATGTTGAGTTCTCAAAAAATCCATTTGAGCTCATGGAAGCACTCTTACAGCCACGGACCAATCTTCTTCCACCATCAATACGGGCAATATACATTCAGTCCTCCTTTAAAGTGTTGGCATACAGTGCATATTCTTATTTCTTCCCTGACGAAGTTGTTGCCCAATCAAGCCATGAATTGGCCGGTTCATTACATAATGTGGAAAGTTCTGATTACTTAAGTGGGGCAGCAGTAACGGATACCGATCCAGATCAGAGCTTTAATCCAAGAATGCCACATGAATCACTCAGAGATAACTCTGTAGACAAGGGTAAGGATATAATCACTGACTGTGAGAATGTCCCTACAGCGTCTCTGAAGATGGATCGTTATCCCCAAGATTCTTTCGCTCAGATGTTAAATATTGTAGACATGACATTTACCCCATTGCTAGGTTGTCATGAAGTTGAAATACTAGATAGAGTTACGAATGTGCTCGGTTTAGTTGAGTTGATTCGACTTGAAATACGTGGCTGTGAAATCCAGAAGGAAGTAGATAATGTGAGGGAAGAACTAAAAGCTGCTCAAGTCATCAGACTGATGCATAATGCCTTTTCCGAGGAGCTTGGTCCAGTTTCATTGATGGCCCAGGAGAGGGTACCTCTTCCTGATGGATTAGAGCTCAAGGAAAACTTAAGTGATATAGATGAAATATGTGGTAATTTTACAATAACTATTTCCAGTTCCTTCAACCTGGAAAGGCCTTGGTCCCGGGAAAAGGATGCCATCATTTTGTCAGAGCATCAAAACAAAGAAGTTGTTGAGCAATCAAATGATTCAACCTCTGTGTTGACTGAGCACCGAAAACGGCATGGGTTATATTATCTTCCATCAGAGGAGAAGGAAACAGTGTCGAGTGATTATCCACCTGCTAACGACCTCAGTTTGCCAGATAAAACGAACGATCAGACAGACGATCTTTTTAAGCTTACAGAGCAATCACTTGTTCCTAAGAAAAAGCCAACTGCAAAACCGAGGCCTGTGGTTGTGAAATTGGATGATGGAAATAGTATACACATTGTGGAGAAAAAGCCGGAGATGAAAGAGCATCTAATTTCTGATGCAGTGAGAGATGTGCTTCTGGGGAATGATGCTGCACCGTCATCATCTCGCACTACCAAGTCTGACAAATTGTCAAGTAGGGTAACTCGGAAGGACTTGCTAGTAAGTGCAACAGAGCAAGATTCAACTACTCTTGGGAGGTCTGATAAGAACTCAAGGAGGAATAAACACCGTAGCCATGGTAAAGAGAAGAGCCATAAAAGTTCAACTAAGGTGGCTGGTGATCCTGAAGAGAAAAGCAAGCCAAAGAGTTCTCATTCTCATGGCAAGCATAAGTCACGGCAACGAGCCAATAGTGCTGTGAATGTTGCTGCACAATCTCCGGTGATTCCTGACTTTCTTTTGTAGCATTTAGGATTGGCATATTTATTTTCTTTTGTTCTCTATGACATTTAAACTCTTTTTTCTTTTTTGCATCCTAATTTTGGGGTCCCTTGTTGTACATTTTCTAGAAGTTTTTGATAGGAATTCTGGTGGTTTGAACTTTCTATTCATTTGTTGAATTGTTTCTTTATGTACAAAGAAATATGAGTTTCAGTCAATACAGAATGAGTGGATCACGGATTGAGTTCTTTTTATTCTTTGATTTATCTCCTTGTTTGGATACCTTGCTTTTACTATTATTCAGCAATTACTCGAAACGTGGTTTTTAAAGGACAAGTTAACTATTTTGCTTTTAAAGTCGCATGTCAGAATGTACCTACTGTGTTGGTTTATCTTTTATACTTAAAACTATGTGATTGGCAAGTAGGAATGAATCTGAGATTTGAATGGCATTAGCTTTTGTTGAAGGTGTTAGTGGATTTTTCTGATGGTGCTGAATTCATCTCTTGGATATTTTATAGTAGTGGCCAGTGGAGAAAAAAAGGGATAAGCTTTCCCACAAGCCAGAAGTAGATATCATCAGATAGTTCAAATGGCTGTTTTTGAATGTATAAAGTATCTACCGATTTGACTGCCCTTTTATTTCTTATCTGTAATATTTGAGTTTCTTGCTGCTTTGTAAACTTCATTTCTGCCACATTCATATACATATATGTTGCTGGATAAGCTGGTGTGTGATTGCGTTTCTGTGTTCTGTTATTCGGGATTGCAGCCAAGCTGCATATGAAAGATTCGGTATCGTGCTTGGTTTTCTGTTTTACTGACCTGATAACATTTGGAGTAAGATCAAGACACAAAAGCTTATGCATGCATTATCCCTTTTCTTCAACCTTTGGCCATTTATCGTGGACAATATCAGATATTACCTGTTGTAGTTTACTTTTTTGCTCTAGCAGCAGAAAAGGTATGTCTGATATTACCTGTTGTAGTACTTTTTTGCTCTAGCTGCAATAAAGGTTGATGAAATTCCTTAATGAGGTTTGGAAATGGAACATAGATGACTTTGCTGATAGGAGTCCGCTAATCCATAGCCAGGAGAACATATGTCCTGTAAATCTTAACGCCCATTGTTCCTTTTGTTTTGCCTTTTGGGGGTATCTATCTCATAAATGAAGTTGGGATTTGGCTCTGCTCTTTGCCTCAGACAGATTAGGGGGATCAGGGTGGGACTACCTTGTAACTTCTGTACTATACTTTGAATTATCAAATATCTGAGTCTCTATACTTAAAGATTGAATAATTACTGTTGGTGCAAAAAATAATCCCTTATTATCATCAAACTTCTGATTGGCAACGATAACGACAGTAATTTTGGTACAATGTTTATATATTTATCATTGTCACTCGTATTCATTATCGTATACATCAAGGCATGTAGTGTATATTCTTGCATATTAAGAAATGGAATCTGTTAGCAAAATGCAGACCAGCAAGACGAAGAAAGAGTGTGTGGCCACTGTTACATACGTAAACGGTGGCGATGATTCAGCCAAAGAATGGACTAACGGGAGAGATTTTGGAGAATGACGCGGAAATACAGTCTATCAAGCACATGTTGTGTATGTTGTGTTATTTAACATCTTAACATTGTCTAAATTAAGTCAACTAGAACATTTCATTAAGTCCGGTTCTTTCATTATACCAAACAATGAGTAAATGCATTCATTGACCATTGTAGCATACAAATAAAGGGGGAAAAAAGGTTAGATCGGTGGTCACCTCGCATGGTCAATGTACGCGGCCTAGAGGCCAATGTATAATCGGTATAGAGCAACTAGCCACCACCTATTCCTTTGGCGTCATTTGTTTGAACTTTCCACCCATCCATGATCCATCCCCTTCGATTCTTTTACCTTCAATTATGTCTGCTCCACCTAGGCTTAAACTGTTATGTCTGCCAGAGCTCATTTTTGCACTCTAAATTAACATTTTAGTCTAGTTTTCGGAACAAAATTCTACTCTCGAGTTAAATAGAAATTAGTTGTAATGTCATTTATGTTAATTCTTGTGCTAAATAATTTGCACAATTGCCGACTGTAGTCAATGGGATCAAAACTTCACAAAATACCCAACTTTTCTTGTACTAATTTAGTTTAAAAAAACAAAAAAAAAAAAGGGAGAAATTTTTTTGAGGCAAAAGGTGAAAATGTTGATAAATGTATTTTGCACGCCTGGGTAGGGTATAATAAACCCAAAACTTTCCCAATCACGACTTTGTTAGCATGCATCATTGTCGTAGTTAGTAGTAGTATTTTTGTGTTCTCTTTGCATTGTATTTCATACTTCTTCTGTTCTAAAATTATTATCCAGTTTGGATTTTTATGTTTAGTGTAAATATCAAAAGTGAAATTTCAAATTAAACAATCATTTTGAGACAAAACAGTATGTCACAGAAGGAGAAAAGAAGGATGGTCAAAACAACATAATGTCGGGTTGTTCATTCTTTTTTTGTTCAAAAATATCAAGTATTTCAATAATTTATAACAATAATATGATTTTTATTTTAGAACGAAAGAAGCATAACAATTAACATACTACTAGTATTCATTATGCATGCCACTTGATCTGTAGTTGTTATAGTGATCAGACTCAACAACAGCCTAACCAATGCGTCACAAAAAAGAAATGGAAAGGCAAATTGCAATAATTCTTGCTTCTTAATTCATCGTGGGCCAAGCATAAATCGCGAAGTATTCTCAAAATTAATAAATCTAGTGCGTGTTTTTCTTCATGTGTGACTTTCGGTCAAGAATGATGTCTTTGTGTGTGTGTGTGTGTGTTTGTGTTTGTGGTGGCTATTGTAAAATGATTCTCATCCTTCGATTAAATTGGGGAGATTTCCTGTGCAATTCGCAAGTATAGTTTTTCATTTTTTCTCCCTTATATTTCACAACAATATTTTATGTCACTGGTTTGCCATAAACCGAGGCCTAACAAGAAAATGTTTTTCATGAAATTAGAGAGAATTTATGCTATAATTACGGCACAAAATTGCCAAAAATATATAAGAGAAAAATCGATGTAACATGCATTGACCATCAATCCTCCCCACACCCCCACCCCACCCCCAATTTTAGGAGCTCATTTTATCGAATTCTCACTTTTGAATTCATTCTTATTAAGTTACCTCCATACACACTGCTACTCTCACCTCCAATTACACACACACAACAATTACTTCTATTTCTTCTTTTTCTTCTTCTCCTTTTTTTTTTTTTTCCTTTTTAAATTCTAATTCTGAATTGATCAGCTGAGAAAAAGACTAGCTAAATGTTGAAAACCTTTTCCCCAGTTACTTATATTTTTGTTGGAAGGCTACTTTCCAATGCTACCTGAGACAGGTAACTAATTACGAGTTAATTGCTAATTAGCTAGTTAGCCATTGACTTCTCCCCTTTATTTTGTTAGTATTAGGTTAAATTTTCTTCAGTTTAGTAATCCCCAGTTAGGCCTAATTAGAATTAGATAAGTGTTAGACATGTTAATTAGAAGGTTAATTTCGAAAACGACAAGGAAAAAAAAAAAAGAACAAACCTTCTTTTAAGCAGAATGTGAAAATGTCCACGGTTCATGTTATGAGAATGACATAAACACATGATCTTCACATTAATCGCTTTCAAGTTTTCTGTTAGTGAGTGTGTTGTGTGTTTAAAAAGAAGCATCACAGAAACTACGAATTGAACACACGTATAATGATATAAATAGCCAAACACAAACCAAACTTCTTCTTCATCAAAAAAAAAGGGAGAAATTTCCATTCCTTTGAAAAGTTCCACAACACCACCAAATCTTCTTATACTTTTCTTCCACATTCTCACAAAAAGGAAAAAAACAGCTAGCTGTTTAGCTAGCTGCCAAACTCCAAAAGCCTCTCTTTGAAACATTTTATATACCATACAAGTCATATATATATATATATATATATATATATATATATATACATCTTCCAAAATGATACCATTGAAGAAAGCGAAAAACACACAGACACACACTGGAATGATGAAGGAGGACGTCCGAGATCATCAGCTCCAACTAGCAAAGATTTTTAGCTTCCAGAGATATTTCCAAAGCCTGGTTCTTTATTTCCTCGTCTTCGGCTCCGGCTTAGTCATCGGAATTACTCTGAGTTTTTATCTTACCGACACTCCTCTAACCTTCCAATCCACAATATTCCCATTATTTAATAACCCACCACCTCAACAACCGCCGCCTCCGCCGCCGTCTCCTCCTCCACCGGAACCGGTAGTTTGTCCGCCGGAGACCAAATGCCCTGAAAGCAACCCGAATCCAATCACTGCCGACAACCCAACAGCTCCGGCGGGCATGGTATCACTGAAAGAGTACATTACACCGCCGGAGACGATGCACCAAATGACGGATGAGGAGCTTCTTTGGAGGGCTTCAATGGTGCCGCGGATCGGCGAGTACCCTTTCCGGCGAACTCCAAAGGTGGCGTTCATGTTTCTGGTTAGAGGAGAATTGCCGTTGGCTCCTTTGTGGGAACTTTTCTTCAAAGGGCATGAAGGGCTTTACTCCATTTATGTGCATGCCTTGCCGTCGTTCCACGGCACCTTGCCGGACGTTTCTGTATTTCATGGCCGGAGAATCCCCAGTAAGGTATGTCTCTAATATGTCGTACAATTCATTTTGTCATTGAAATTAATTTCATCTGTTTTTTTCTTGGTGGCTCATATCAATCATTCACAAATCAGAACATTAATCTAGTTAATTTCTTGTTTGATTTTTTAAAACTATTTTCGATTAATGGAGTAACTATGATTTGTCTTTAAAAAAAGTATTTTACCAATAGAATGCAATAACAAAATGATAGCCTTAACAGTATGAATTGCTTGAGATTATGATAAAGTGTGATGATTTTGAATAAAAGTATGAAGTGTGAATTGCTTAAGATCTAGAAAAGAAAAGCTAGACGCCATGAGCGAAAAAGTAGTCCAAAAATTATGTCAAAGCTGCGTGCTATAGATCAAATTTTAGCGTGGAAAGTGACGAATATTCTCTGTTCAAGAAATAAATTACATCTCTGATTCATCATTCATCTTCACTGCTCAAAATCCTTAAAATTTTGAATAGATTCTGATTTTTTTTTTCTTAAATATATAACAATTGCGAATCCAATTGATTCAGCATGTTTAGTTATTCAGTAGGCTTACAATTTCAAAACTACATAGCTGAAGATCTTCTAATTATATTTTAACACGTAGGGCCTAGGGGAGATCCCTATTTGACCGTATATGAATATGACATTTTCGTTAAAACCCGGTCCAGAAGAATCTAAATTTCCTTTGGGCGGTGCCTGGCTGGTTGATCAATCTAAATTAATGTATTTTTAAGGTTTTTACCCTATACAATATAAGAAAGATTCTTATAAAATCTTGTAGGGATTAAATACATGTCTGTAATTAAATTCTGTTATGGATTTTTTAAGATTGATTATTTCATTAAGTCACTAGACCACTTTGTAAGAGTGTCTGACTTCTTAAAATTTTTATTATAAATAAACAAGGGTTCGATTTTTATCAGAGATTGTAAGAAGAAGTTTACTCTCATTTAAGCGGAATCTAGTAGGGTGAGTTTTTTTTTAATAAAAAAATAGGATCTACTGATGTGAATTTTTTTTAAAAGGCCATTTCAGAGAAATTACAATTTTTATGAGAAAGCGATCAACAATTTTTACGAGAAATTACAATTGTTGCAGTAATAAAAAATACAGATTTTCAGCTTCTGCATAAAATATTTCCGGGGGAGGGGGTTGTTCCTTAAAGAAGTGAGTTAAATAATATTCTTTCGCTTCACATTTAGAGCTGGCTTCAAGTGAAAAAGTCATGTTTCTTGGATTCCACTCGTTTACAATATTCTTCCATTATCTTCTTCAAACTCTACCAAATTCCTTTCTTCATATGGGCTATCTTTGCATTCACATAAAAATTCATGCACGTATAAGTTTTTCCCTTTTTTCCCAATTTAAATTTTGAGACGTCCACATCCCCCCCCAAATCATAATATTTAGTTTTAACACAAACATTTCTTAATTAAAAAGCACCTATACTGATAAAAGAAGTTTACAAACGTTAGCAAGTTAGGAGCATTGTGCATTCTATGTTGTTTGAAATTAGCGAAAGTTTATAACTTGGGGGGGGGGAGGGGGGAGCGCTGATATCAGGACTAAGCTTCTTCGATGTTTCACTTTAACCCGACAAATTTCGTATTTTAACGAATTAATTAGTTGGACTGCCATTCAATGTTTCACACAGATTTTATTATTTGAGCATACTATTAATTAGGGGAGAGGACCACTAATTAACCATAATCGTAAAGTTTGAATCTCTAAAAGCCAATTGATCTCTTGGGTCACTGCTTTTGATGTTCCAATCTCTTTGTCCTAGGTCCTATATATAGGAATATGACATTTGTAACATGTGTAATATTCTTTGTTTATTTGTAACTTAGCTACCCTCTTAGAACGTGATTGTCCATTTGTTTCCACAACTTGCTAAAAGTTGTCAAATGCCCAATGGGTATTAAAATGTATAGAGCGAGTCTACAACTTTTGTACTCCCTCTTGTCCTTGTAAAATATATTGATTTATCATAAATTTAATTTATCATATTTTTATAAATGAAAAAAATTTTAAAAATATATTTTACATTTATTATATTCTCCCAAATATTATAAATTATTTTTAAGTTTTCATTTTAAAAAATAAAACACAACAAATAAAATTAAAACAAATCAAAATACCTTAATAAGGGCAAGATGGATTAGGTCATTTGGTATCGTAGTACTTTCTTTTCCTAAAAAGGAAAAAAAGTCAATATATAACGTTATTCATTCATTTTTGGGTTTCGAGTTTTGACACTTGTAGAATTTATTTCAATTTATCGTTAAACTCAAATTGTCGTGGAATGAATTAAGAAATTTTTTTTTTTAAAGAAAAAAAGAATTTGGAACTAATTTAACCATTGCTTATCACTAATGGATGCATATTGCAATGCTGCCTGCAGGAAGTGGAGTGGGGAAAAAGTAACATGATCGAAGCGGAAAGGCGTTTGTTAGCCAACGCTTTACTCGACTATTCCAACGAGAGATTCGTACTTCTCTCAGAGTCGTGCATACCTTTGTTCAACTTCCAAACAATCTACGACTATCTCATTTATTCAACCGAAACGTTCGTCGAGAGCTACGACTTACCCGGCCCGGTCGGCCAGGGTCGGTACAGCACCAAAATGAAGCCCCAGATCCGGCTCGAGCAATGGCGGAAGGGCGCGCAATGGTTCGAAATGAACCGAGAACTCGCCATAAGGGTGGTTTCCGACCGGGTCTACTTCCCGGTGTTCAGGAAACACTGCCAGCCTCCTTGTTACTCGGACGAACATTACATACCGACCCTTGTTTACATGAAATTCGAGCAGAAGAACTCGAACCGGACCTTGCATTGGGTCGACTGGTCGAAGGGCGGGCCCCACCCGTCCAGATTCGGTCGGTACGAGATCTCGGCTGAGTTTTTGGAGCAGATGAGGAACAATCAAACTTGCACTTATAATGGGAAGACGACTAAGATTTGCCATTTATTTGCTAGGAAATTTATGCCGGTTGCTTTGGATAGGTTACTGAGGTATGCACCAAAGGTCATGCAATTTTAACACATGATGATTCCGCGTATTTAATTAATTCTTATGTACAGAACACAAATTCTTTTGTTGATTCAACGGAATTCATTTTCCGCACTTAGGAGAGACAAAAAGTTAGCAACTGATACACATAATTGTATACTCCAATGACAATTATATATCAAACGTCATTTTTTTTTTCCGTTTTCTTTTTAGCTTTGAATGCAGTACTAATTGTTAAAAAATCATTGGTGGCATTTTACGGAGGAGAACCTTCATAATTCTTATTTCGACTATTAACAGAAATATGTCCGTCCCATAATTTTACCTAGTGACTGATTATTAATATGGGAGGGAAGGGGGATGGATTTCAAATTCCACTCTTTAATTTACTTACGTATTCATTACTCTAGTCTCTAGCTAGGTTTGTACAGTATAAGTTCATAAACCGTAACATATTTCTTGTCTTGCAAAGTACACACAACACATAAACCGAGTAATTTAACTATTATAAAATAAAAATATTTATTTTTTATTCAGCTTCAATATTAAAATCTTATTCGCGAGGTAGATATAATCACGATGGTGTTTGACGGGCACAACCAACTGCAAGAATAAACCATAACAAAAAAACATTTTTTTAAACATTTATTTATTCAACAGAAAGATTGTCTTACAATAAGCAAGAAATGACAATCCATGACAACACAAACTTCAAACTTCAAAGAAAAACAAGGATCGCCTTGCAAGACATGTCAAATCCCTGACCCCCAAAAACAAAAAAAAAAAACAACAACAACAAAAAGAAACATGCATCAAACATATTCAAAGAAAAGGCACACACACAAAATCAGGAATCACGTTGATCATTCAGACATAATTCTTGATAATTGTGGAATAACCATTGTCAAAGTCTTTGTTCCAGAGCATGACCCCTCCATACTTTGAAGAATACTTAACCTTCGGAAGAACTTGAGAAATGAGAACGTACGGCCGCATATAACCGTCGATGTCCGGTGATGCTCCCAACCCTAAAAAGATCTGATTAGCCAGAGACAAATTCCACTGATTCCAGCTACTAATAAGTCCATCAATGCTGCCGCCCAAATACTCGCACCCCGCATCCTGCTGGTTGTAGAAACGTACCCAAACATAGTCGAAAAGACCGGTTCCGATAGCTGTGCCCAACAAGTAATCCGGGAAATAACAGTGTGTCGACGCCGATAAGATCACGTTTTTGTCGAACGCCTTGAGATTTGTCGCCAGAGCGTCCCAGTAGAGGCTACTTGTTCCAACTTCGATGTCAAAGTCTATGCCTGTTGTTGGTGTAATGATAGAGACCGTGAATAAAATGTAAGAATCAGAGTTTTTAAAAATGCAAGAAAAAGTAAAAAGAAAATTTATTTGTAATGTTTTAAACAACAAACACAACAATCCATCCCCCTAAAGATGATAATAATTAACCTCTCCTACCCGACAAGATAAAACTGATAAATGTGAATATATAATTTCAACCGTTTTCGTAAGAGAAATACCTGAAAAAGAAAAAGAAAATTAACAACACGTGCATGATGAAAGTATATATCTCAAAATAATGATTTTTCTCTGATACGAAATATTAATATAATGAAAATAAGAGTTATTTTGAGACAGAGGGAATAGTAAAAACGGAATTGCATGCATGAGATTATTATGCAGTCAAAAGCAAATTAAAATTTTAAAAAGAAAAACAAGAGGGGGAAAAAATACATACCATCTAAAACAGCATTTCCTAAAGGACGAGGGGTATCCGACTGGCCATTTAAGTAGTTCTTCCAAAGGTATTCTGCAAAGGAGGTTGCATCCTCCGGAGAAGAAAGTTGATAGCGTCCACTTGGGCCGCCGAGAGAAAGAAAAACTTTAACGCCTTGACCTTGGCAAACTGATATATCATTCCCCAAAGCGGTGCAATTGCCATTAGGCCAGTCACAATGGCCGGGCAAGTTCAGTTCCGGTGTTAGGCCAGGGAAAAAGAATGTTGTTAAGGAAGAAAGAATTACGATGTTGTAGTCTCCCGTGGCGCAGGTGGCGGCTAAGGATGGTTCATTCCCGTTTTGGTTTTGACCCCAATAGATGGCAATTTGCCCGCCTTGGGTGGAAGTGAATAACAATGCCAGGTTTAGCATTGCCAATACCAAGAAGGTTATGTTACCCGCCATTTTTTTCCCCCCTTTCTATCTTTCTTTGAAATGTGTTTTTGTTGCTATTTGGTGCAAGTGTACGTTCTTCTGGGGGGAATTCATGCATTTATATAGATGGGCAAAGAGGTGTAATGTGTATTCAACTTCGATTTTTAGGGGCACCATTAGTTAGTTCATCCAAATCAATGAAATTGAATAAACTGAGTTAGTTGTAACGTATGACTTTAATCATTCTAAAACATGTATATTATAATTCCTAATAATATATTAATCAATCATTTAAGCAATTAATTAGGTCACAACAAACACTCAAAATATCACACAATAAGTAAAGAGTAATGATATATACTGGAAAAATTTAATAAGGAATGGCATTCATCAATATTAATTTTCTACCTAACTATAAATGAACAAATCCTTAAGAATAAAGTATAAGTATGGACGATTATGAGTCATTGTTTTTAAACTTGTATTGTAAATTTTCTCTGCACATATCATTACTCGTAAATAAAAAGGCAATAATCTATTTTTTTTGTTATACACCCATAACCCCGTTAAGGAAACTCGATTGCCCTCTTTTTTACTCATCCTTTTTATTCTGTTTCCTACTATGAAAATGTTTAATATTTTCCTCTTGAATATTTAGGCGCGTTTCTAATCTTTTGTTAAAGAAAATTCGTATCAATGCCATACCGTAGTTATATTGTCCATCACCAACTAACTTACTATTGCTATTTATAATATGAATGATTTCTATAATATTCCTAATTAATTAACCTATCACTTACCCAATTAGGTCTAAAGAAACACTCAAAATAACACGAACTATTAAATAAATAAAATGAGATGAAGTACTATTATAATTATAATTATAATAATTCACAAAAGATTATTAGAGTTGTTAGAGAAAACTTATCCTGGTTGTCAAATAGTTCCAAAGACTTTGAAAGAGAATATTTAGTTAAACGATCAGTTGTTTCGCTTTCGTTAGTGTAAGAACTTGAATTACGAAAAAAAAAAAAGAGAGAGAGAAGTGCATCCTTGGGTTTACAGAAGCAGCTAATTAATATTAACAGTATTTTCGTTATAGAAGTACAAAAATAAAGAGTAAATGAGAAAGGAAAAATGAAGTTAATTTGGAAAGTTGGACCTTACGTGTGTTCTTCGTCATTCATAACTCTTAACACTACCCTATCCCAAAGGAAATTTGGTTCCCGATCCTCTTTTCTACGCATCCTCTTATTCTGTTTCCTACTATGAAGTGTTGAATATTAAGAACATTTCCAATATATATTTAGTACGCGCGTTTCTGAACTTCTTTTTTTTTTTTTTTGTTAAAGAATATTTATATCTATAATATTTATAATAGTTATTGTATGGTCCTACCCCATCACTAACAAACTAACTATTGCAACGATAATAATAAATAAGGATACTTTTTGTTGCGAATTTCAGGAAATTTGTAACCAAACAACTCAGAATTGGAATAGAGATTAATACACAAGGGGAAAAAAAAAAGAAAGAAAGAAGAAGGCAATTCATAGTCCTTTCCACCGGTAAAAATGAGAGGAAAAAAAATGCTAATTAACTATATGCAATCGAATTCGCTCGGCCACTAGAAGACAAATCATCTAAATCCTATATATATATATATATATTCTTACTATATTAGAAACAAAAACCACACTTAAGAGAAAGCACCACCATTTGTCACGTGGCATTTTCACATCATATTTTTAAAATAAATTTTTATTTCCACATCTCCTAGACTTAAAAGGCAAATGCAGTCCCAAATTCACCTCCACCTCCTATTTTCGCCAAAAAAAAAAAAAACCACGGGTTCATAAAAAATCCAAATCCTCATCCCCATCTCCACGACAATCGACTCCCTAATCAATTCCTTCTCCACAATTAAAAAAAAAAAATTCCTCATCAATCATCAATTGAGAGTATGTGGTGAAATATACTCCTTTCCTATTAGCATGTTCAATAATTTCATTAGTGATGATCAACTACATCCTAATCGGATAAAATTTCAACTTCAAAAAATATTCTCTTTACCTCTCTATATAAACACAAAGGAAAAAAAAAAAATTCTCATTGATCTTGCTTCGGCCGTTGTGATGGTGGTATTACAGGTATTAAAATTTAAATGATTTTATTTCCACAGATCATTGGTTTGGCTTTTATTATTTTTTATTTTTTCCGTTCAAGAATAGTGTTATTACTATTATTTTTATGCGTCCGTTACAGCTACCATAGCTGTTGTCAGGTAATATAATGTGATTTCTTATTTGGTTAGTTAGCTTAGAATTTTTGTATGATTTTAGTTATGTTTGGATTGAACTGATTAATTGGGTTTTTATTACTAAATGTGGTTTTTAATTTTTTTTTTTATATTTCATTCAATTAGAGTGGTTTTCTTTTTTTAATTATGGAGTCTCAAGTTTTTTTTCGTATATGGCTAGTTATGAAGTGTGTTTTTTCTTTGTTTAATTGCTTTTGATTTTGTTTCATACTCCCAGTTGACCAATTGTTGTTGTTGTTGTTGTTGTTATTATTATTATTATTATTATTATTATTATTATTATTTTATTTGCAAATGAAGCGCGTTTTTTTTTGTGTTCGGAGTTTCAAGAATATAATTTTTTGAATTTGGTTTTTGGACTTTTTTTTAGTTTCTCATTATATAAATAGTTCAGGTCGCTTCTTCTAACTAATTTATGGGGAAGACTTTTATGAATTTGAGATGAAGAGGGAAGGAATGATGTTTCTACATTTATTTGTATTTTTATACATCATTTTTACCTACAGAAAAAAAATCTCAAATTTTAATGGGCTATCTTTTACTTTCTTTTTTTTATTTGCCATGGTGAGGTGAGTTCTTTTTTGCTATATCTTGAAACCTATGCAAATTTACATTATTTTCATTCTCATATTTGTGATCAACCAGTTTCAACAATTAACCAGTTTCAAAATCATATTTTTGATATTTTACTACCTATAAACTTTTGGAAGAAATACTTCCTACAATTAAGCGTATACCTGTTGGAGAAAGCTAACTACAGAGCTATTATAAATCTCCAAAACTAAATATAGATTTGGCGCAACCAATAGAGAACATCTATAAATTATCTTACTAATATTTAAACTTATTAGGATGTTTTTATATTTTGTCTAGCATTTACTTCAAGACATATATTTGATCAAGTTTATTTATATTTAAGAAGTAACACTTATAAAACATTTCTAAAATATTCAAACATTTCTAAAACGTGCCGGGCCAAATACAATTTATTTTTATACCAAATACAAACATCACACTTATAAAACATTTCTAAATTCTTCAAATATTTTTAAAATATATCGGGCCAAATACAAATATTTTTTTTTTCAGATACAAACATTTCTAAGATCTACAGATATAATGGGCCAGGGTCGCGCATTGCGCGACCAGACATCACTAGTATATTAAAGGAAAGGAGATGGGGTGATGAGGTGTCTTGCAATTGCCCATCAATTGATTTTACTGACAGATGTCATTTAATCATTGGTCATTCATTAAATAGTTATAAAAATTTGTAAATCTACTATTTTATAATATTATCATTAATCCCTTTTACCCTATTAAAGCAGAAGACATGAAACTTATGTGGCAACTACGTATGCATCTGTTTTGGCTCCAATGCACCATATTTCAGATTTCAGAAGTCTTTTTGCCACGTGTGAGTCTCTTTTAATTAGAAGTTATATAATTTTTTTTACAAAAAGAACACATGTTTTACTACAAATAAAGATCAGTTACATTTCAAACGAATAGATATATTAATTCAAATTCAAATGTCCAATCGTATAGTTTTACAGGCTTAATATAAACAAAAAAATAAAAATACCTAAATCCAGTAATTAAGAATAATGCCTTATAAACTAATTATTTATTATTCCCTTATAACCTCATATTTATAGGTATATTTTTTTAAGTCCCAAACTATATCATAAATGGTATATACGTTAAATAATTCCTCAAAAAATAGTAATTCAATTAGATTTTAATAAAATAGTAATTTAGAGGGGGCACCCGGGTATCTGTCCGGGCCAAGCATCTAATTATATTTTGAATTAGGTAATTTATTTTTTAGTTCCTCCGATGATGAGTTTGATGATGATTGGGATTTTAGTTCTTTTTTTATTTATATAATAATGCTCTTTTCTTGGGTTTTTTTTTTCGGTTGCTAGAACTAGAAGAGTTTGGTTTCAGTTCAACTGTTGTTGCTTCAATCTGTTGGGTTGGATTTTATGATTTGATGAGTGAAATGTTTTTAAGAAAGATAAAATTACGGTGTTGCTGACTTGATAGGATTAAGAGAGGAAGGGAGAGAATCTAGGAAAAATAAATAGAGTAAATTCCTTAAAACTTGAGGTCACGTGTTGACCATTTGCAACTTTGTTTTTACTATTTACGGTAAAAAAGTCGGAAAATTTAACTTTAATAGAATCCCTAATTCCCTACAATTTTATTGCTGAAAATCAATACGGGTTAATCCGAAAAGTATCTCCCATCAATCACAATATATCAATTTCAAATGTAAAGGATCAGATCGATTCTGTTATCCTCTCTGTATGTGGTATTATTCAGTCGGAATCCCATAAAAATAAAACAAATCCATCCGACCGAACTAGAGAAGATGATAATGAGGAAGATGACTCTCACCCCACGATGTCGTTCTCTCTTTCAACTCCAAAGCTCCAAGGAAATAGCGGTGAAGGTTCAGCCTGTGCCGCTAAACCGGTGGTAAAGAGGGACTGTGTGGCCCATATTTAGCAATGTAAATGCTTTTCTTATTGTTTCTCCAGAATTAAACATTATACTTTTGTTAAAATTGGATTGTGATTTACTAGATCTGGATGAGGACCAAACAAATCATCCATTGTAACACCGAGATCCGCCATTGACATCGCACAAGCTTAGGTTTTAAATCCGTTTCAGATTCGCTTGGGTCCACCACTGCCTGTGAAACTGGAACGAAGGTAAACTCTTTTTTCTGTTTCCAATTCCTGTGGACTAC